TACATGGCGATGCCTCGGAAGTATGCGTGGGAGTCACACTGTGTGCGCGGAAGTCGTATGCTGTGTGCACGGTAATGTTTTCTGAACATGTATTAGGCTCTGTCCTGACAGGCGCTGTCCTGGTTCACGTTTTTAATGTGGTTCACGTAGTTAACGTGGGATCTCGCAAGTTCAAGTAAGAGTATGTGTCAGATACTTCTTATGAAGACCTATGTTTACTTGTGAAAGCGAAGTGCTTTATTGTAGTCCACGGTATGAGAACGTATTTCTGTTTTAGGGCCTCGTATGTGTGATAGATGAGAGGACAGGCAACTGTGTATGTTGTCCTTATAGTTAACAATTTGTTTTTCACGCAGATCATGATAACTACAGCCCCGACGATGCCTGTGAACCCTCAGGTGCTCCTGCTGCTCTCGTTTTGGTGTAATTTGATAGTTCACGCGAAACATGATTATCATTTGCTATATTTTGAAGTTCAAAACTTTTAAGGGTTGTACTACAATAAAGGATTAACTTTAACACGCTATGAATTGAAAATAATAAGTGACATTTTTGTGTTCTAATGTGTTGATCAATGTTGCAGTTTGCTCCGTATATTGTGTCGTTGACAAGATTGGGGTTTGATTTCGAGGGATTCTTAGAAGTCTCTACAACAATGATCAATGAGGAAGACGTTGTGATGGCTAATCGAACATGGTCAGGTACGGCCGAGCGCTGGTTAGATTAAGCCTACACCGCTACAGTCGGTTACTTATCGGCTGATCTTACGGCAGGGCAATTCAAGCGGCCGCCGAACAAATGGTGCTTTGGCGCTGTAAATGGACGGCTTTCGTAGATTTTGCGCAGTTTCCCCCTTCGCTTCGAAATATGTTGTGGTATCTGTCTCTACACATAGTTTCCATTTTTTTTTGCAATGTTTTCAAATGTCGTGCAGTAGCCGTTTCTTAAGAGAATATGTGATGAATTTCGGAAGCTCGGAATTCCATTGTTCGCAATACATTTATCTCGATTTCTTTTAATTTTGCAAAGCAGTGCGACGATTCGTTAGCGCTAGTACGGCGCGACGGCTTGCTGCCGCGAATGTGGCACGATCGCAGCAGAACGAAAAGCTGTAGTGCGTTTGCCTGGAGGTAGCCATATCCGCGCGTTCCAGACTTAAATGAAGTCTGGGTTGGTCGACCGTTGTAATATTTAACAAGAGTTAATATCTGTTAGCAAGTGGTGATAACTGATAGACCGTATGCTGTTCACTGTCAACCGCACGTGGACGTGCGACAGTCAGAGGTAGCCGTGTCTGTGCATCTAGAAAATACTAGAGACGTTGCAACACTCTAGCAAAGTAATTATTCCAGTGTAGGAAAGGAACATGAAGTTGCAGGGAGGCTGGTCTGTGCTGCACTAGGATATGTGTCGACTTGCTGTTGGTTTACATACTTAGGTGTTATCGTGTGTCACTACGTCCCTCACGATACACTTTTGTGTGATTGTGACGGGGACATGTTTGCGGTATGGTTGGTCTGTAACTGTTCTATACTGAATTGAAAAAAAAAGAGAGTAAGAAAAAAATGTGATTCTTACTATCATTGCAGGGCGTTTGCCGGTCCAATGATATAGCTAAAGGGAATAGTGATTCCGGACTAGCATAAATAGTACTTGAAAAAAAAAAGCGTAAGAAAAAAAAATAGTTCTTACTATCATTGAAGGGCTTGGTGCCGGTCCAATGATATGGCTATAGGGAATAGTTATTCCGGACTAGCGAAAACAGTACTTGAAAAAAAAAAGAGAAAATAGAAAAGCTACAGACTAATCATTCCGATCTAACATAAAAATGATTAAAGTTTTGTAGGGCTTACTGCCGGAACAAAACTGACTGTCACCCGAGTCTGAAGGGTCAATATAGACCGGACCAGACGCTGTTTTGTCAGGAGAATCGAACGATGTTTTTCTGTCTACAGATAACTAAGATTGTGATGGAGCGCGTGCGAGGACGCACGCATGTCAGTATGGCCGTGACGGCACGTGCACTATTGCAGGTGCGGCGGCGCCGGTCTAGCTAGACAGAATTCTTGTAAACGACACGTGTACCGCACACCTGCGGCATTGCACCTGCGGTGCCGCCCGTCCTGTTTGTATAAAATGGACGGAGCGGCCGCCGTTAGGACAGTCTTGGCTCTGACGTTGAACGGTGCGCTTGTCGTATTCCCTTACTAGTTTATCCTCGACTCGTTGGATAATTAATTCGTGTAGACGAATTAATTATTATTCCTTACTATAAAATCAGTCTCTGTACTATACCCATCATACTACCTACATATATATACATATATAAATATTAAAGTTCATATATAAATTATGCATAAACATAAACGAAACGTTAATATTAATTGTCCACACTTTAATCACTTCCCTGTTTTTGCTTATTTATTTATTTTGAAACTATAAATTAAATTAATAAATTAAATTAAATCAAATAAATTAATTAATTTTCTGTTTTATTGTAATCTAATGACAACAACCAATCACGAACTCTAATTTTACACTCGTGTTTTGAAAGAGGGTAGAAATTTAGAATTTTGTTAAGTTTGTTATGGAGTACTATAGAGAGATATGCGCTTTGTCGTCTAGCAAAAACAGTGCGGCATCTAAACGGTGCCAGTGCGTTGGGTATTCTACGTTTATTACGACAGATCTCAGGGTCGTAGGGAGTGCGATCGTGTTGCTTGGTGATCAAATTTTGAACGTATAATTGCCTGACAGACAGCAACTTGCATTCGCTGTATAATAATTTTGTTGAGTACCTATAAGGTTTGAACGTCATAGTTTTTAGTAAACATCTTTGTGCTCTTTCGAGCTTAATTAAAAAACTTTTGCACGATCCTCCCCAGACACTTATGCAATAGCCTATAATTGATTGTGCTAAAGTAAAGTATACTGTGCGCAATAAATCAAAATCAGCAATGTGTCTTAGCTTTTTAAATGTCCAAATAAGTATACGAGTCCGGGATGAAATAAGATCAATGTGTGGGAGCCAGCTAAGTTTTTCGTCTAACAACACGCCGAGGTATTTTACAGTTTTACATCTAGTTATATTAAGGCAAGAGCATTTGTCTGTTGACTTTAGATCACAAAAATGTACTTTCAGTTCAATATACTCAACAGCTGGAGTATTGCTAATACGGAACTGTAAGTACGTTGATTTAGATACGTTTAGTGTTAGTAAATTGTCCTCAAGCCATTGTCCCACACATTGGAGACCCCTTTCAGCAATCACCTGAACGTCAGCCCAAGTCTCTCCATAAAATATTATAGCCGTATCATCGGCATAAGTGAATAATTTGCCATGTATTAATGGCATACGACAAAAGTCATTAATATAAATTAAAAAGAGACTTGGCCCTAGGATACTTCCTTGAGGGACACCAAAAGTGACACTAGTATCAGAACTGATGAAATTTTTAATCTTAACTCTCTGCACTCGGTGACTTAAGAAGCTTTTAAAAATAGAAAGGGCCGAATTTCTAATTCCGATATTTTCCAATTTGTGTACAAGAATGGGAATCGAGACGGTGTCGAAAGCCTTTGCTAAATCAAGAAAAACACCCAAACATTTTTTTTGTTTGTCCAACTTATTGGTTACAAATTCTGTCAAGCCTTTTACCGCATCTTCTGTGCTATTTCCCGTTCTGAAACCGAATTGCGTGGACTAAGATGGAATGCCTCACAGCGTGCAATTAAACTGACTCTCCATACTCTTCAGGCAAAAGACAGAAGACAAAGGTTTCTAGCACCTGGTGAACACTCCCAGGTGTTACTATTCGGTAACATTTCTTCTGCATCGTTTGTCAGTCCTTCGAGCTAGGCGGCCGGTGTCTTTTATACGAGAATGTAAGTACCAAAATCGGTGACGGGGAGCAACTGCCTGACAAACATGGTGATTACGATAAATCCCCTGTGAATGAGAGCCTTGGGTCAAGCAATGATATATTTCAGGTACAACAAGAAGATATGCCAGCGTGAAGTAGAAATTTACTTCGCCTGTTAAGTGCAGGTGTTCGAAGGCCTCAGCGCTCTCCCTCTTAACATGGTAGTGTTATTAAATAAGAAACCATCCCAGGAGCGTACCAGCACCCCTGGTATTGGAAAATCCCTAGCCGAGCATCCACGCCCAAGCTACCCTATTCTTCTTTAGAGTGGCTGCCTCGCGTATCCTGGGGAGGGGAGCGAAATTCCGCGCAAAACTAATACTGCTCGTGGCAAGTAGATCTCACTTGCTCAAGCCAAGGGAAGATTGCCGAGTGCTCATGGAAGTACTCCTTCTACATAAACTTATCTTAGCTTTAAAAGTAGCAACACGAAAGTCTAGCAGTGACCGTTATTGTGCATAAGTCTCGCTGATTGGCTTATTATTACGCATAAGTTGCGCTGATTGGCTCGTGCGAGTCCCCTCCACGTTTCGTTCGGCGCTACACTTACGTGCCGCGACTTGTACTAATTTATTTAGGTAGGATAAGGTTATGGAAACAACTGAACTGAGCTATTTGTATGTGCATGGACTTATATTTATAGATAAAAATATGGTATTAGCTTTTCTTCCTTTATGAGTCTTCCCCAGACTAACACAGTACAACAGCTTTTACGTGGTAGAACTACGCGGATGCTGTATTACGGCTGCAACAAGAACGGTTCGTCACGACTGTGAAAGAACATGCTCTCACAGAATACCAGCCTAAAATAGCAGCGTACTCGTAATGGTCTTGTGTTTGTTACAGTGAGTGTAAACAACCGAAAATATATAACCGGTAACGAAACATTCCACCTTAGCCTTCAGGATTACCAACGCATTTGGATTATGATTCTTAGTCAATAGTAGATGTGGTCTGTGGACCGCAGCATACGTTTATCATCAGGCTAGCTAGCTCAATCGTCATACTTACATATAAGAAACCTCATGTATATATGTCAAAATGTATGTATGTCTAAATTAATTACTACCAACGCACCATATACCCCTTGGCAGTTTCAGGACCGCAAGCTAGCGAAGCCCATAGTCTCTCATGTCGGTTCCTGGAGAAGTCACCGTATATAGTTCGTATGTACGAATCAGCGGTATAACCTAGTGTGCACATGCCTTGTAGCCAAACCATACGGTCCAAGTATTGAGGACAATCTGAAATCAATAAAAAGAATAAATTAATAAATAAAACTTTAGGGAAATCCGATATATTTTAAAATAAATTCGCCTCAAAACGAGGCAAGGTCACGTGCATGCATTGGGCTATAGTCAAGTAAATTTACGCAATTTTTATAGTAATCTTAATTCGCCTCAAAACGAGGCAAGGCCAGGTGCATGCAAAGTGCACGCGCAGGGCAAACGGACATAACTCAGCAAGTAAAAACTACGTCTAAAACCATAGACTGCCTCATAGGCATATCTGCCATATTTGCCACGCTTAGCAAGTAGGTTGGTAACCGCAGTTTTTTTTATTTTTAGTTGTTATTAGGAAGACGCTGCCACCCACGGAATGATATGGGGTAGTGGAGATTCTTACCCTGTATAATTCTGTCAACAAAAATCTTAATATTTACTGTAGAAATACCAAGGACTGCAAGTTATTAATTATAAATTGGCTGAAAACCCTGTCTTACGAAAGCACAGAAAAACTTTTATGTTTCAACACATAAGGTGAAAATAATATTTCCCAAAAAAAACACACACATACACATACACACACACACATCCACACAAACACACACAAACACACACACACACACACACACATTTATTTTTGAATAATTTTAAACTACTTTTTTTTTTCTTTTTTTTTGTATAATATGTAATTATATGTTTCTAGAAAGTTTTGTATAGCTATGGAAGAGCGGGAGTCTCTGACACAAGTGCCTTAAGGTGCTCAAAGGACGCTCCCTACCTTATGCAAATTGTGAAATGCTTAATGAAATAAAAGAGATTATAAAGAGATTACCCTACCTCTACACGGCAATTTAAAGCCTATAATTTATCCAACAAACATGGAGATTTATTTTGGGTAATATAAAATAAATTAACATATTCATAACACGCCATCTCACATAAGGAAAATGTATTATATTAAATAGCCGGGGGATACCAGAGTCAGAAAAGCAAAATATCTTGTAATGTAATTCCCAATACGCCAGCCAAGCGTAAAAATTACAGCATATTATATTCAATATACAGGAAAAACGAAATATGTTGATAAACTTTATATAACGAGCATGTGATTCTTGTAACAGTATATTTGTTGTCCATTTTAGTACACGATACAGGTATTTAAGGAATATATTATTTATTACTAGAACAATGTGAGGATGAGAAACTCGCGTCCGTAGGCTTTGACCACCTAACCCCAGGCCCACCGTACACGTGTCCCCCGGCTGGTGCTAAACCAGTGACAAAGCCCCGTATGGGAGCGGCGTAAAATCTACCACCCCTTAGTTCGCACCGTGAGCCAACAAATAAAAGAAATGGCCATGAGTTCCCGGTGCCCTTTTAAGGGGGCAGGGATGTGAAGAATCTCCGGGAGAAAATCCGGTAACGAGGTTCGCCACCGGTCACGTCCTGTCTACCGGAGGGGCGAAAAGTGGATTGCGGAGGCCCGTCTGGCTACGCTAAATGTATGTCGAGTAATGAATGATAAGATGGATGAAGTATGCGATATGATTAATGGTAGAGGAATAGATGTGTTATGTGTAAATGAGACGAAATGAAAGGGAAGAGATGTCACTGCACATGGCATGTATACCGCTTACTGGTGTGGTGTAGACGAGACCGAGCGGACATGCCAGGGAATCTGTGTCATCCTTTCAGAAAGAATGGGTCAATGTGTGAAAGAGTATAAGTGTGTAAGCCCAAGACTGCTATGGATACGAATGAAAGTGGGCTTAGAGAAGTTGTTTGTGCTAGGGGTGTACACCCCAGATATGTCTAAGCCCACTTATATCCGAGAGCAGTTTCGGGACGTGGTAAGGCTGGTGTTGATGAAATGTATGGAAAATGAAAATATTATTTTGTTAGAAGATTTTAATGTAAGGGTTGGGGTGAAGAGGTCTGGTTATGAAAGGATATTAGGAACGTTTGACGATGAAAGTACAAATGAGAATGGTGAAGACCCCCTCACCGTATGTGTGGAAAAGAATATTTTTGTGACGAACACTTTCTTTCGCCATAAGAGGATTCACATGTATACATGGGAAAAAGGGGATGATAGAAGCATGATAAATTTATTAATTGTGGATGAAAGAATGAGGAGCGTAGTGGTAGAACAAGGGTTTACCGTGGGTCCAATGTAGGGACGGATCATTACTTGGGCGTATGCCGAATTAATAGTCTATTCAGGCGTTGGCGGCATTGGACATCTGTGTCTACCACTGCGTTACAGCATATAACAATAGAGATGTTACAAGATGAAGGTGTGAAAGAGAAGTATAAATGTAGACTGAGGGCAAATATAAGTGGTTTGAATGAATTATGTATAAATGATTTAGACTTGAAGACTGTATGGAATAATGGTAAGAAAGTTTTGGTGGATGCAGTCACCGAAGTATGTGGTGTAAGTAAGAGAACAAATGAAAGGAAAAGTAATACGTTGTGGTGGGATCATGAGGTACTATGGAAGTTGATGAAAAGAAGAGAGCATGGCTAGATTTACTAGCAACCAAAGCCGGTAATTCCCGCGGTATGAATGATGAGATTGAAAAACAAGGCAGACTTTAGAAGTTTAAATAAGAGAGTAAAATAAGTTGTTGAAAAAAAAGCAAGAAAGGATGGATAAGAGAGATAGAAGGATATCTGATGATTTCCAGACAAATATTAAAACTGCCAGGGGAAATTCAAAACAGCCTACAATGAATGCTATACGAGAAGAGAATGGATGCATGCTGAATGATGAAGTTTCGAATTTAAAGAGATGGAAGGAATACTTTGAAAGCGTGTTTAAGAGTGAAAAGTCGTCTGAATTAAGTGAAATAAAAATTACGAAAGAATTGGAGAGATGTAGGGAGATAAGTGTACACGAAATAAAAGCTACGAAAACCATGAAAGCAGGTAAGGCAGCCGGATATGATAGAGTATCGCTCGAAATGCTAAGGGCTGGAGAGGGTGTGGTTGCAGGCCTGCTCTACACCTTGTTTAATTTATGTTGGGAACTGAAGCGGGTACCGGAAGACAAGGCAAAGACGTTATAGTCCCAATATATAAGGAAAAGGGGTCACAGCCGGACTGTAAAAACTACCGTGGTATCAGCTTTCTCGGCTTTGTGGGTAAACTGTATGCTAAGGTGTTAATTGAAATAGTTATGGAAGAAACTGATGGAAAAATTTGGGTTGTGCAAGCTGGATTTAGAAAGGGGATGGGGTGTATGGATTGTGGCGGCGCTGTCATCGCGCCACAAGTGAAACACATCGAAGCCTAAATCGCGCTAACAAAGTTCCGAAGTTAAAGCAGCATATATTGAATAGTAGTATAGTGGTAGTTCGGAGCTATTCTATATAAGCTGCTTTAACTTCGGAACTTTGTTAGTGCGATTTAGGTTTCGATGTGTTTTGCTTGTGGCGCGATGACAGCGCCGCCACATAGATCAAGTATTTTCCATGCGCATGATTGCCGAGAAGTTTTTGGCCAAAAACCAGAAAGTTTCTTGTGCGTTCATGGACTTGGAAAAGGCTTATGACAGAGTGAACAGGAACGTGTTATAGCAAACACTAAACTCATTTGAGTTGAGCGCTGGTTTGATATAGGCATTAGTATCTCTTTATAGGGACTCTAGTGCTTGTGTCAGGATAAACGGTATCTACTCGGACTGGTTTGGCATTTAAAAAGATGTCAGACAGGGCTGTGCAGCTTCCCCATGGCTGTTTAATTTACTTATGGACAGTTGTTTGGAAACTTTGAAAGTTGAAGAAAGTGGGTTGAGAATGGGTGAGTTAACCGTCAAATGGCTTTTGTATGTCATATTTGCATCGTCGGCGGCCGAGTTGCAAATGACGGTTACTTTGAACTGGTCACTAAAAGAAAGAGGTATGAAAGTGAACGCAAGTAAGACGAAAGTGATGGTTTTTGAAGATGTTAATTTAGCAGGGATGGTAGATATGATAAGGATATAAAACGACAAGTGAACGCAGGAAATAGAGTGAATGGGGATCTACACGCTATTATGAAAAGTCAAAACGTGTCAAATAAGGCACGTATGGCAATTCACAATGCTGTGTTAGTCTCTACTTTAAAGTATGGTAGTGAAAGTTGGGTTTGGCAGAAAAAGCATGAGAGTAGAATAAATGCTGTAGAAATACGGTCATTAAGGAGTATGCTAGGGCTGAATCAGAATGACAGGGTGAGAAATAGTGTGATAAGAGCAAAATGCTTCGATGGTTTGGTCATGTAGAAAGAATGAACGAGGAAAGATTGACAAAGCACATTTGTGTTGCAGAAGTGAACGGCAGAGTCGGGAAGGGATGCCCTAGAGTCTAGTCTAGACAAAGGTTTATCCACCAAATTGGCGATACTTTGAAAATGGGGCAGATTAGGAGTACCCTTAACTGACGAGCGTGTATGCGTAGATATATGGATGTAAAGGAGGCGAGAGAGGTGTATCAGGATCGTGCCAAATGGAAGTCCGTAGTCTCTGCCTACCGCTCTAGGTGACAGGCGTGAGTGTTTTTGTGTTGTTTTTGTATACAAGAACAATTAACTGACATTTATCTATAATTTTTAGGGTTCCGTACCTCAAAAGGAATAAACGGAACCCATAAAGGATCACTTTGTTGTCCGTCTGTCTGTCTGTCAAGACCCTTTTTCTCAGGAACACTTAGAGGTATCAAGCTGAAATTCATATCAAATACTCAAATCTACTGTCCCTTAGAGCTGTGAAAAAATCAAACATCTAAGCCAACGTAATCAAAAGATACAGCCGTTTATGCCGTAAATTTTCGACATTCTCAAGGCAATTAAAACCTACAGGGTACTTCCCGTGAATTCAGAATCTTCAAATTTGGTACGAAGCAACGTTTTATAGCACAGATAAAGGAAAAATTGCGAAAAGCATAAATTTTTAGTTACATCATATAATAAAAATATTTTTAATAATTTTAAACTTATATACCTACAAATTTGTTCGAAACCCTCGGTGCGCGAGTCCGACTCGCACTTTGCCGGTTTTATTTTATATGTTTACTACAATTTCAATCTTTAGTACGTTCTTCTATACACCATACTGTAATACGCGGTGGAGCCACGCTGCAGCTAGCTATATTATGGTTGTAACACAGATATGTTGACTCGACAGAATACCAGCGTGAAATAGCAGCTTGATGCTGCTGTGTTTCGTATGGTAAGTGTAAAGAATCGGAGACCCTTTTTACTGGAACCGAGGCATTCTATCTACCCGTCAGGGGTGACAACGCATCTGCATTTCGATTCATGTCTACGACATAATTGACAATGACGAGCTGGTGGAAAAGAAGGATAAATGCATAATAACTTACCACTGTACATTCTGAAGTACTTGACCACTATATTGTCGAAGTAATCCTGCTTGACCAACGAAGCGTCCATGGTCTTCGATGTGAGAGTCGCAAAGGACAAGATACCAGCGTGTCGGATCTGCTGTGGGAAGTCAGGTCCTAGCTTGGAGAATACTTCCAATTCTTCTAGAAGATTCTGACTGTAATCGGCGACATTGTAAGGCAGCTTCCTCAGAAGAGAAAGAAGGGCCGCATCTTCTACTTTCTCCTAGAATTATAATGAATTTACATAACATAACGTAAACTTTAACTCCTATCTTCCAGTAACTAAGACTTCTATTTAACCTGATCCTGACATAACTATCTTGCTTCTTCTCTTCCTCCCTCCCACACAAACACACACACACACACACGCGCGCGCACACACGCGCGCGCACACAAACGCTCACACGCACACACGCACACACACACACGCACACACGCACACACGCACACACGCACACACGCACGCACGCACGCACGCACGCACGCACACACGCACGCACGCACGCACGCACACACGCACGCACGCACGCACGCACGCACGCACGCACGTACACGCACACACACACACGCACACAAACAAACACACACACACACACACACACACACACACACACACACACACACACAAACACACACACACACACACACACACGCACACACACACACACGCACGCACGCACGCACGCACGCACGCACACACGCACGCACGCACGCACGCACGCTCGCACGTACACGCACACACACACACACGCACACAAACACACACACACACACACACAAACACACACCCACACACACACACACACACACAAACACACACACACACACACATCTACGCACACATGTTCGTCTGTTATAGTTTTATCTTTTTCTTTTTTTAACGATATCTCTACACTAGGATTTTCTCCCGTACCGTGGGGGCAGACAAAGGAGCAATCATTTGCATGCCATACAAATACTTGTTTCGTCCGGGATTCAGACCACTGTGCCACGGGACCGTCGATAGTTACTCTACTTGTCCCATCTATACATATCAATAAAATTGAAGTGTCTGTCTGTAATATCGAAATAACTGCCTATTGTCATTAAGACCTGAATAACCATTTCTAAAATTTATGTTTGTCTATCTGTCTGTCTGTCTGTGCATTCTTCGAAATGGCTGAACTAATCGTGATGAAATTTCAAAAACAACGCGAGCGATTTCAGGAATGAACTTGACTATATACAAAGTACCAGAAAATATGCAAGGTATCGCTATTACCAAGTTTCAATATTTAATTAAACAAAAGCTGTATTAAAAGGTTATTAAAATATGAATGAATACATAGTTGATAATGGGAATGAGGTGGTCACTTCCAAGCTGTTTCTAAAATAAATTTTGTAAATAGTTTGTAATCATTTATATTGTAAAATTTATTTTAAAAAAAAGTCCCGCTGTGTTTCTTGCTAGTTCTTCCCAGGACAGAGGGTTTTTTTTTTCAAACTAGTGGTAAAGTAAAAAATTACTTTCAATCAATATTGAATAAAAAATTATTCTATTCTATACTTTTATCCGAAGAACATAATATTTCCTCTCGATTTCCTGCAATATGTGGAAGTACTTTAGTAAAAAGGGACGGACGTGTGTTATACGAATCCGGAGAATCTATTTGATTTCTGGTAGAGTTGTTAATTGCAATGAACACAGATCGAAATGTTTCAACAACTAACAGTTTTACTGTTATTGACGCAGACTTACAACGGTTTTTAAATACTCCATCGAGTCAGTAATTCATTCAGTCAGGGCGATGTATACGCTTTTACAACAAAATTCCAGAAAATATACAAAATTTGACCTGTTCAAAGTTCAAAAACTATTAAACTAAGTTTGTATAAAAAGGGTTATTATATGATAATAACCCCTGGAAATGAGGTGATCGCTACCAAGCTATTTCTAATTTGTTGTGTTGTTAATTTGTGTAGCATACATGATTGTAAGCTGTTATTTAAAACAAAATCCCCGCTGGGTTTCTTCTTAGTTCTTCCCAGGACAAAGGTTTTTTTTTCGAACCAATGGTAATTGAACAAAACAGTGACTTTCAGTAAGTATTATTTATAATCTATATTGAACAAAAGATTCTGTTTCTGTTCCTTTGAAGCCACAAGTATATTTAGTAGTAAGGTTAACCATATATTAGTTTTCATAAGTTTATTGTCTCCGCTCTACCCCAAATTGAACAAAAATAACTTGTCTCCATTCAAAGAAATAGCAGAACAACTAGTGTTAATTAATTAACATACAATATCCATTAAAAATAATTATTATTCTTTACGAGAAATCATTTCAAATAATACCTGAATATTTTTCTTTTTCAGAATATAATGTTAATGTGAAAAATTACCTAGGTGAGATGTCAGATGTTACACAACGTATGCGACTACACTGTAAGGCTCGCTCGTTTTTTTTTAAATGAAAACATTGATAAAATAAATGGTCATTGATGATTATCTTAAAAATCTATATGATGCCACACTAATAGGTAACACCCAGGAAAACCTGTTGCGGGCTAGTAATGATATAAAAAATCAAATCTTTACCTTCTGTTCAATAACCAAATACTTGACAAATCTTGCACAAGCGTCACTGCGACCGTGCGGCAAAACCTCCAAAAAAATGTTGCGGGCTGTTTCAAGGTCATAGCTGGTGCCCAGGACCAGTTCATCGAACAGTCTCTTGAAGGATTCGTAGGTTAACTGCGACATCGTGCTGAAAGAAATAGTTTAGTGGTAACATTAAATGCATATATACGCGGTAGAGCCATCGTCAGTTCACTGCTGAACTTGCCACCGACTTTCTTATAGTTTCCACGCTTGGGATGAAGGTTAGCAAGCGCAGTTTTTTTATTATTTTGTTGTTACCAGAAAGATACTGCTGTTCATCACCTCTTTCACTTTCCCTGTGCCGCCTCTTACGACATCTATAGATCTACATAGGGTAGAGTCATGCTTCAGCTATATTATGGTTGTATGGTGGTATTTAAAGTACAGCCTATATACATCCCCCTGCTGGACACAGGCCTCCTCTCATTTCTGAGAGGGTTTAAGGGCAAGGAAATGTCCGCCGCATTGCCCCAATGCGTGTTGGTCAAATTCACACGTCTTCGCATTTTATTTCTTATTTCTCACACATGCAGGTTTCCCCACGATTTTTACCTACACCGCCGAGCACGTGATAAATCAGCACTTAAAATGGTGGTAGTGGGTCAACTCAAATGGAAACTCTTAAAGCATACTAGCCTGAAATAGAACATATCACTGTAGTGCTTCTAATCGCGAGTTTAGATAACCGGTGACCTTTTTTACTGGCAAGGAAGCATTCCATGAAAGTCCTGAAGGGTAATGATGCTATTGGAGCTTGACTTTTCAATCTCTCTATGATGAAATGTAAGTGTCAATGATTCACAACATCTACGTAGCATCAAATTGACTGGTGATTAAATATCATCATCACCAGCAGGCGCTTAATTGCTGTTTATGAGCGAACGGATTGACGGCGACGGGTATATTTGGTTTTGATTGAGGGAGGGTAGGAAGCCCCCTTAAAACTGGGTAGGATCCATCATTTTCTTTCTTTACGCGGAATTAAGCAAATTAGTTTATAACAACCCCATTATAATGATTGCTATGTCGCAGCCAGATTGCTTAGTCGTACAATTTACTAAACGACTGGTATATTACCTGTACGCTGACATTCTACTAAATACCTGGCCTCTTCGGCCATTTCCGATGTGATACATAGGAAGTCGTATATTTAAGGCAGTGCCAGTATAGGCATATATTTTTTTTATAGGATAGGGTGACAAATGAACACGCAGTCCACCTGATGGTAAGTGGTTGCTGTGGCCCACAGACATCTACATCCTTCCTAATTTTCGAATCAAAATGCAGATGCGTTTTCACCCGTGAGGACTAATATGGAATGCGTCTTTTCCAGTTAAAATAGTCTCCGGTTCTGTACACTCACCATACGAAACATAGCAGTGTTAAGCTGCTATTTTACGCTGGTATGATGTGAGAGCGTGGTCCTTCCCCGATCGAGTCGACCCATTCATGCTACAATTATACTACTAATATAGCTGCAGCATGGCTCTACCGCATATATGGGAGACATTGATATGATTGAAGTCATTATATAATCGAGGTCTATGTTTGTTCAGTTGTAAAGATTTGATAGTCTGTAATGATGATGATGATGAATTGTGGTGTTAGAGAGTTATATATATATAATTAACAGAAAAACAAAAGAAGACAACAATAAAAAGTAAGCCGTGGTGATCCCCAAATAATTAGATTAGGTTAGGACTTTATTAATGAAATATAATGGCTGATTTTCTATACGACCTGGAAATCATATCAGGTGTTATTGGTGAACGAAGTAGGAACCTACAGGAAATATAAAAAAAGGTGACTTACAGCCTATATACATCCCACTGCTAGGCACAAGCCTCCTCTCATTTTTGAGATGACGGCAAAGATATATTTTAATGAAATATTTCAGTAAAGACACAAAAATCCAACATTAAAATATATTTAAAGTTGGTAAAGTTAAAAGTAAAGTTGTAGCCTTAAAATATCTCTGAATGTTATTTCTAAGAAGGTTTTGGGGCAAGGAAGTGTCTGCCACGCAGTTACATTGCTTAAGGCACGGTTGGCATGAGATGCAGCTGAACTATAGTCCGCGCGCAACTACGAGTAGTTGGCCGCGTCTTGGCTATGTGAGCGGCGGGACGGGAGAGCGAGACTCTAGCTGTTATTACTCAGTACGTCTTAATTGTCATTCATTATGCAACCCCCGCCTCACCACTCGCCACCTAAGGCGCGGCCATCTAGTAGCGCGCGAACTATAAGAAAATGGCGCAATTAAGAGTCCCACAGACATTGCTATATTGTTTATTTTGTTTGCTATGGACACTGTCTTCCCTTGGGGCCCATTATCGGTTAATTTTCTATGGGAATTATATCCGCGACTTTTCATCGCAGCTGAAAACCAGAGGGCTGGTTCTTTTCTCGCCCAATGCTTAAGTATATCCATTCAGTGAGGAAATGCAAACGGTGTTCTTGGCACCGTATGTACCGCGGGGAATAGGACTGTGTTATAATTAATTAATTTTGGGATGCTACTTGCGTAGACACTCTGGCGGCCTCTCATCTCAGGGGTAACTCGTTTAGAGCCGGGACGGCATCAGAGGCAGCTGAACTGAGTAAGTGGCGCAAATATGAGTCTCTGAGAGATGACTACATATTTGTGCCATTTGCTGTAGAGACTATCGGTCCGTGGGGTCCACGTGCGGTGAGGTTCCTAAAGGAACTCCATCCGCGGCTGGTCGTTGCTGCTGGTGATAAGAGGGCTGGTTCTTAACTCGCTCAAAGGCTACGTATAGCCATTCAGCGGGGAAACGCAGCCAGCGTTCTTGGCACGATACCGCGTGGAGTAGGACTGTATGATAATTAAGTTACTAGTTTTAGTTTTATTTATATTATTATAGTTTTTAATATTGTATATAATATAGTTATTTATTACATAATATTAATATATATATAATAAAAAGTAAATTGGTGACGCCCTTCATGAAGCCAGTAAAAGTAAAAAAGTTTAATTCGAATTCGTAGTGTTTAACGATAGATCAATTTATATTTTGTCAATAAAAAAAAAAGTTTGAAAACTATCTGTCATAGGCTTCAACATCGTTTACTTATTACACTCATTTTTTTTCAGACTATTAATAAAGCCAGGCAATACACAAAGAACTTCTCGGTACTCACTTAAGGAGATCAACAAAATCCATTGTGTGGATCAGCCCTTCGTTTTTCACAATGTTGTCCGCATCGATCCCTTTCTTCGCTATTTTAAGAAGTATCTGGAATATAAGAAGAAGATTCAACATTTTTCAATTTATACGCCTGTTAACTTTTTTACCTCGGATAAAATAAGGTCTAATGGTCGAACGAAATAGAATTCAGTGGCATAGATATTTTTCAAATTTATTGCTTTTCATTGTCGCCATATGACATTGATCTATCAAGAAGTGAAATTAAAAAAAAATATGTATAAAGTGTTTTAATATTCCACGTTTGTTTTTAATATTCTTACACTGTTATCCAATTCTGAGATGTATAAAAAATTTAAGTCTCTTATATCAGTTAAAAGATTAAGTTAAAGTTACTGCCACTATACGTCTCACTGCTGGGCACAGGCCTCCTCTCACTTCTGAGAGGGTTTATAGGGCAAGGAAGTGTCCGCCGCGCTACCAAAATGCGTGTTGGCGAACTTCACATGTCTCCGAATTTTTCAATTCTCAGACATGCACGTTTTCTCACGATGTTTTCCTTCACCGTCGAGCGCTTGGTAAATCAGCACTTGAAATTGCAATTAACAATCTCATTGGTGACAGCGGCGATCGAACCCGGGTTGCTCGTGTACTATTAAATTTACTCTACTAATGGTGTGAATGATTTCAATTTAGTCACCTTTAAACCCTTGTTGTTTTTCAATAAATTAATTTGAAAAATATCCATGCTATAGCCTTCTACTTTGGTCACTTAATACATCTCATTTGTCCCCTCTGATAGAGTTGTTAAAGGATGAAAGTGAAAATTTCCTGGCTCTCTGATTTTCTACAAACTTGCATAATATACTTAGAATTAGAACATCCAATCTCGACCGAGAACTCACACGATTTATACAATCCGCAAACAGCGAGTTTAGATATGCGGGTTCCGCGGTATTTACGGGAGTAGCCTAAAAGGTCTTTCTCTAAGCGCGAGCGATTTTTAGTAACTGTCTCGAGTACCACATTGAATAAAGTATCCACAGTTAGAATAAATAACACACGATTTTTTTTATATAATAAGTATGACAACACACAGTCCACCTGATGTTAGTGGATACTGCGGCCCATAGACATCTGCTCGTTTAAGATTCAAAATGCTGAAACGTTGTCACCCCTAAGGACTGAGATGGAATGCCTCGTTTCCAGTAAAAAGTGTCTCAGGTTCTCTACACTCACCATACGAAACACAGCAGCACTAAGGCTACAAAAACAAAATATACGGGTAGTAGCGTTATCTCGCGTGTAAACAACATTTTTTATAATATAGAGTCCTTTTAGTCCACAAATTTTCAATTAGAATGTCAGGAAAATAATAATAAATTAATACATTTTAGGACAGTGTGACAATCGAGCACACAGTTCACCTGATGGTAAGTGGTTGCTGCGGCCCATAGACATCTACATCTATCCTCAATAAAGACTCAAAATGCAGATGTCACCCGTATGGACTAAGATGGAATGACTCGTTTCCATTGAAAAGGGTCTCCGGTTCTCTACACTCACCATACGAAACACAGCAGCATTGAGCTGCTATTTTACGCTGGTATTCTGTGAGAGCATGGTCATTCCCATTCGCGCTACAACTATGCTACTAATATAGCTGGAGCATGGATCTACCACGTATATAAATGTAAATGTTAAGGCCAGTCCTTCCTGCAACGGTTGAGGGCCAAGTTCATGAGTTCTTTTACGGACTTATGAAGATGGGGTATACCTCGTAAGTCCTGTTCTTCAGGTCACGCTGCGTCATCGTCTTGATGAAGTTGGATGGGTTCCTGTAATCGCCGGCGTCATATTGTATTTCTCTTCTAGAAAGATCCAACTTCTCTATGCTTTCGACGGGGACGTCCATGTCGTAATATAAAGAAAGTCTGTAATTGAAATAATCTATTATTATATTTATGTTATTTTAACTTTTTTTTTATATTTATGATTATGTAATATCATTTTAGATTTGAAAGATAAAAAGGACCGAATATTTGAGTTTTTTTTTAATTGCTTTTTCTTCACCAATTATATCGTATATAGTTATATTACTTATTCTGAACCTTCTCTGCAAATTTGGCCTGTTATTGCAAAAAAACCCAGGATATACTCCGATTACAAACTTAAAAAAGGCGAATTAGCTACACTTGATCTGCTCCTACTCAATTTATTATCAATCATCATCATCATCACCATCACTAATGTCAGATTCATGAGGATGCACGTAAGAGTTGTACACACTAATCCCCCCCCCACAGCAGCATTAAGCTGCTATTTTACGCTGGTGTTCTCTGAGAGCGTGGTCCTACCCCGGTCGAGCCGACCCATTCGTGCTACAACTATACAGCATGACTCTACCATGCGTGGCGTGGTCCTACCCCGGTCGAGCCGAGCCATTCGTGCTACAACTATACAGCATGACTCTACCATGCGTGGCGTGGTCCTACCCCGGTCGAGCCGAGCCATTCGTGCTACAACTATACAGCATGACTCTACCATGCGTGGCGTGGTCCTACCCCGGTCGAGCCGAGCCATTCGTGCTACAACTATACAGCATGACTCTACCATGCGTGGCGTGGTCCTACCCCGGTCGAGCCGAGCCATTCGTGCTACAACTATACAGCATGACTCTACCATGCGTGGCGTGGTCCTACCCCGGTCGAGCCGAGCCATTCGTGCTACAACTATACAGCATGACTCTACCATGCGTGGCGTGGTCCTACCCCGGTCGAGCCGATCCATTCGTGCTACAACTATACAGCATGACTCTACCATGCGTGGCGTGGTCCTACCCCGGTCGAGCCGAGCCATTCGTGCTACAACTATACAGCATGACTCTACCATGCGTGGCGTGGTCCCACCCCGGTCGAGCCGACCCATTCGTGCTACAACTATACAGCATGACTCTACCATGCGTGGCGTGGTCCTACCCCGGTCGAGCCGAGCCATTCGTGCTACAACTATACAGCATGACTCTACCATGCGTGGCGTGGTCCTACCCCGGTCGAGCCGAGCCATTCGTGCTACAACTATACAGCATGACTCTACCATGCGTGGCAAGTGGCTGCAGCCAATGGAAACCTGCAACCAACTACAAACAAGGAAGGCTATAGCTGCTTCGCCTAAGATGGAATACCTCTCAACACTACAGTTATACCGACAACCTATACCGTAACTCTGCAGTATTACGAGTGTAATTTGACAGCAGAAATAGATAAGACGACACATGGACACAGAAACAGAAACAGAAACTTTTGTATTCAATACAGATTATAAATAATAATTATTATTATTGAACGTCACTCTTTTGTTCAACTAAACGACTGGTTCGAAAAATACCTCTGTCCTGGGAAGAATAAAAAAGAAACCTAGCGGGACTTTTTTTTAAATAACAGGATTATTATCATCCATAAATTCCTTAATATTATTATATACCCATATTTATACAAACTTAGTTTAATAAAGTTTTTGAACTTTGAGCAGGTCAAATTTGCCCCATGAATGAATTACTGACTCGATGGAGTCGAGTAACTGGTACTACTAGCTTGTGTCTGTTCCTGGTGGACACCAGGGAAGTACAATAGATTTTGAGTTATTCTTAATAATTTATATTAAAATCGGTTGTACAAAACTTTTAATTTTAAACTATTCTTATAGGAGGCCTATGTCTAATAGTGGATTTGAGAGGAGCTTTAAATTTTTAAACTAAAATTATATACTTACTCCGAAGCCACATAGAGTATGTGGTCATGTATCTTGTACTGGAAGTTTCCATTCATGCTCATACAACTCAACCCGCGTTTCTCATCAAACTCATACACCCGCTCCGATGTTGACACGACCTCAGGCTGAAATAATTCATGAATTACCATGTGAAGTAATTACTTAAATGTGACTATAGATTGGTAAACACCATACGGCTTAGTTCTGGTATCAAGGGCCTTGGGGTGGTCAGGTTCAACCACAGAATACAATAGAATAAAACAGAATGAGACAGAATAAAATAGAATAGAATGGAACGGAATGAAACTGAATGGAATGGAATATAATGGAATTGAATGAAATGGAATTAAAAGAATATTTTTTCTTCATATATAGATTACTTTTTATACTTATTGAAAGTAATTAAGGACCACTGCTTAGGAAAGTAACCTCTGTCCTGGAAAGAACCAAGCAAACCAGCGGCACCTTTTTAAATAGTCCACCGTGTCGTTCCAATACACGCTGTCATATTGCCAAAATAATGTAAATTCCTTAATTTAATTTTAATTTAATTTCTCATATAATATGTAGATTTCGTCACGATGTTTTCCTTCGCCACTATTGATGCTGGCGGGTTTCGAACCTGGGTTGCTCGTATTCTATGAAATTTACAGCGAGCGCGTAGCCTCTAAGAGTGCGTACAGATTAAGTAACATGTTGTGTAACTTTTGTTATATAACATTTCCACACTATGTTACATTGCTTTTCAACGTTCCAACATATAACAATACTGTACACATTAAAATATCAATGCAATATAACACTGTTATATGACATTGTGGTTTGTCGTTCTGCAGTGCCTTTCACAATGTCGACACGAGAAGACGTTTTGCTGGCTGCTGCAGCAACTCTTGTACTTTTAAACAACAAAAGAAAGAAACAAAGATAATGGGTTCGTCCCTAACGAACATAGTTTAATGACTAGAGAAAAATACTCTCGAACATTTGTGTCACGTTATATAACACGTTTTATAACATACAGCCTCCACATTACTGCAACATGTTATATAACAAAGTTTTAAACATGTTATGTTATATAATATGTAGGCACCGTAAGATACCTTGGCATAACTGAATACATAATATTATTTAAAAAACGACCCACTGTGTTTGTTTGCTTGTTCTTCCCAGAACTGACTAAATGATATATAACTTACAAATATATTTGTCGGTACGATACGCGCACCACCTACTGTAAGTTAACTGTACCATGTCTATAACCTTCGCGCAAGTAGAATCAATAAGTTGACAAAGTTTTAACGCAATCTCATGAACCCATAAAATACGAACAAACAAACAAACAAACATTATTTTTTATATAAAGCTAGCGTTTGCGAATTTTATCGCGTACTCCCCGTGACCATGGGTGCTATAAAGTGCTTGAAACGTCGGGAATATAAAATAATTTAATGTACGCGATAAAATCCGTAAAAGCTAGTTTTATTTAAATGTCTAGTGTTCGGGTAAATATAAGAAATAATTATTAATTTTTATATAAAAGATATAGAATAAAACAAACATGCGTGAGTGTCGTGGAACACTCGGTTGCAACGAAGTACCTTTCGTAGTATATCATTATTGATAAACGTATTATATTATTGATTAACAAATACAAATAAATGAATTACTAGCATCTATTATAACAAAGCGTCATTTGAAACAAAATAATATTTCTTTCATGGCAAGATAAGAAAAGTGCGAGGGAGATGGATACTTCCATCTCGCTTCCTTATAGCCGCCAAGGCCGTCTACACTACGACGCAAGGGTTAGTGACGAAAAAATCTTACACTTTTTGTCGCTTAGCTCCCATCCGCCAAAGCCGTACCGTCCGATAAGTAACTTCGTTTCAAAAAATCTATTTCTATATGAAAAATACTCACAACATTTCTCTCCACGTAGTCCTGGGTCCAGGGCACAGAGCTCCAACTGTGTTCGGTATTGGCAGAGGACACCTTGAGGCTGCAATACTTCTTTATGCTTTCACCCACAACCGTGTACACCATTAAGCAGTTTTCGTACAAGCACGGCTGTAAGTAAATATTCATAGTTGATGTGAACAATTCTTTAGGCACGTTGGGCACTTTTGACATAGGGGGACTCCCCCCGTGCGTCGACGTAGCATTGCGGAAACAGTCCTGCGATGGATACGTGTATTTAATATGTATATAAATAAAAGTGAAAATTTTTATAAATAAAAAAAATTACCGTGTAGTGCTATAGGTGCCACGCTCGGCAAACGGGTTGGCAACTCCAGTTTTTTATCTTAAGTCGTTGTTAGGAAGACGCTGCTGCCCATCTCCTGATTTGTTTCACTCTGTCGCCTCTTACGACACCCACAGGATGATATGGGGTAGTGGATATTCTTACGCCGTCACTACACGATTACATTTTTATTTATTTATATCATCATCATCATTACAGCCCTTCACAAGTCCACTGCTGAACATAGGCCTCCCCCAAAGAATGCCACAAAGCACGGTCCTGAGCCACCTGCATCCATCGACTTCCTGCATGTCTTACCAGGTCGTCACTCCATCTCGTGGGGGGACGCCCTACACTTCGCCTACCGGTACGAGGCTGCCACTCGAGAACCTTTCTTCCCCATCGGTTGTCGGTTCTTCGAGCTATATGGCCGGCCCATTGCCACTTCAGCTTACTAATCCGTTGGGCTATGTCGGTTACTCTGGTTCTACTGCGGATATCCTCATTCCTAAGTTTATCACGCAGAGAAACTCCGAGCATAGCCCTCTCCATAGCTCGCTGAGCGACCTTGAGCTTCCTCATCCGGCCAGCAGTGAAGGACCAAGTCTCAGTTCCGTATGTCAGTACGGAACTGAGTTTCATTTTCGGAACTCAGTTTATTTATATACATAGTAAATATACGTCCATCGTAGGATTGTTTTAATAATGCTACGTCATCAAAGGTCAACCCTTATCAAGTATCAAGATGACATCATCCGTTAACGCTTGTCGGTCATTGATCTTGCAAAGTGGGACATAAGTCACAAACAGGCACAGCCACGGTCAACCGTATATGATAAGGTAAAGAGTAGTACCTGATGATATACAAGATGATGTTTTGACCAGGATTAAGAAATGAACGCTTCGGTGGTTTGGTTATGTAGAAAGAATGAACGAGGAAAGTGTGACAAAGAAAATCTATATTGCAGATGTTAACGGCAGAGTCGGGAAGGGACACCCTGACGAAAGTTTATCGACCAAATTGGCGATATATTGAAGGTGGGCTAAATTAAGCGTAAATTTAACCAACGAGAATGTATGCGTAGGTATATGGATGTAAAGGAGGCGAAGAGGGGTGTGTCAGAATCGTGTCAATGGAATTCAAGTCTCGGCCTGCCCCGCTAGGTGGCGTGAGCTTATAGTACCTAACTATCCTCGTTGGGTGATACAAGACACGATGGGAGATAACCTTATGATTGATACCGAACACTAACTTTTTAATCCCATCCCTTTGATAGTAAAATCAGACTGAATTTATAAATAAGTATTAGGTATATTGTTTTTTGAAAATGAGTGAAGATGTTATATTATATGTTCCCATGTAAAATATTTATTTGACACATTTATAGGCTTCGTCTGGCTTTAATCTACGTATTAATGTGGCATTATTTAGTTTTAATATTCAGCATGGACCATTTATCTAATATTTTTTTCTCAATTTCACTTTAAATTGGTAGTTTTAAACGTGGTAGTGCCATGCTACAGTTATATTACGAACGGGTCGGCTCGACCGGCTCGACAGCTATACACTGCAGTGTTAGTGCAGTGTTTATATGGTGAGTGTAGAGCACCGGAGACTCTTTTTACTGGATACGAGGCATTCCATTTTAGTCCTCACGGGTGACAACGCATCTGCATTTTGATTCGTTATCGGGGATAGATGTAGACGTTTGTGGTTTGTGGGTCAGGACGTTGGCGGTGTCTCACGCCCGCGTCTCGGAAATTACTTAAAGCCCCCGGTCCTGCACCTGATCTCTCTCCGGTCGTGTCGGTGTACCGTCCCATCGAACTACGAGAGTGAGGCAATAGGTAGTGCACCTGTGCTTGCGCACACATACGTGCACTATAATCCTGTCTTGCGCAGATGGCTAGTCTCCGATGAGGCTGGCCGCCGTGACTGAAATTAAAATTTTGGGTATCGGGCTAGGATGCACCGACTATTTGCTGAGCTGGAGCCATCTATTACCGTTACCGAGCAAAACCTGGCAGACCGAGTTCGGTACATCATGCGCTCAAAAATATTTGATGACGCCGAACTCGAACGGCTACGATGTGAGGCTATTCCTTTGTCGAACGAAAATGCTACGACAGGAGATGCGGCTCTACGAGTTGCAGAGCAACCCGCACATGTAGATGCCGTCGTAGATCTCCTTGTAGTTGACTCAGGCGACGATGGAATAGTCGCCTCAGAACAAGAGCAAATGAGGAGCATAGTGGAAGAGGCGATTAGGGAAACGCGCAGTACGCCTCTCGAGAATCGACCGCGACTTCCCCGTATACCCCTAAGCAAGCGGAATCGGGCTGTCGTGAGGGCTCCCAACCCAATGCTGGTGACCTATTTGGAAGCCAGCCGGGACCTTTGCGAGACGGACTCAATTCTTTTTGGCGCCGCACTGGCAGTTTGCTGTATTATTGGCGCCAAACTTCCCAAGGTTGGACGCGCTACTAGACAAAGTAGCGCCATCCCAGCCTGGAGAAGAAGGATTGAGGACCGTATCGCAAAGGCAAGGGCCCTCATCGGCAGGCTGATAAGCTTCAGGTCGGGCAATAATAGGCCGAGAATTGTGCGCACCGTCAGGATGGCGTTTGCTGGCGTTTGTCCCAGCCGGATATAACGCAAAAACTGACGGAGCGCATAGACGACCTGAAGCAGAGAATCGCTGCTTGGGGGAAGCGAATTCAGCGATATACCGAGAGGTCGATACGGTTCAACCAGAATCGTCTCTTCCAGAGTGATCAGAAGAGGCTCTATGAATCATTGGAGCGACCGATGGTACGTTGAACGGGCCCAGCATCGAATCAGGCCGACACTATCGCATTCTGGCGCGGCCTGTGGTCAGAGCCCGTAAACCACAGTGAGGGCCCTTGGACGGAAGTTGTGGCGAGTCAGTGTGCGAATGTTACGCCCATGAACCCCGTCATCATTACGCCGGATGACGTAGCTGAGGCGGTCCGTAGGGCCCCGAACTGGAAAAGTCCGGGACTCGACGGACTGCATCACTACTGGCTGAAGGGGTTCGTGGTGTGTCACGCTGTTCTCGCCCGACAGTTTCAAGAGGCTCTCGACCAAAAGTCGCTCCCGAGCCTCTTCACTACTGGAATCACTCATTTGGTTCCTAAAGACCGAGATTCCACAGACCCGAGCAAATACCGCCCCATAACGTGTCTACCTACCATATACAAGACACTAACATCCATTTTGAGCGCGAGAATCACTCGTCACCTGAACTCAAATCAGGTGATGTCGCGCGCTCAAAATGGATGTCGGGGCGGCGGTCGTGGAACCAAGGAACCACTCCTCATTGACGCGGTCATTTGCAAGGTGGTTAAACGCAACCGTCGGAACCTCTCCGCCGCCTGGATAGACTACAAAAAGGCATTCGACTCGGTGCCTCATACATGGCTGAAGAGGGTCCTCGAGCTGTACAAGGTTGACTGTACAGTTCGAGACTTCCTCGGGCAGTGTATGGGGCAGTGGAGTACGATCCTTTGTCATCTAGGCGAGCGGATGACGGCTGCGGAGAACCACATAAGGATAAGAAGGGGTATCTTCCAGGGCGATTGTCTGAGTCCAATCTGATTCTGCCTCTCTCTGAACCCTCTTAGTACCTTATTGGAGGGTTCCGGGAGGGGATTTCAGCTTCGGAGAGGAGGTACAAAAGTGACCCACCTTTTCTATATGGATGATCTCAAGTTATTCGCCTCCAGTCGCTCTCATCTTATGGAATTACTAAACATCACTTGTGATTTTAGCAATTCTATTAGAATGGAGCTGGGGACGGATAAGTGTGCGGTCCTCCATGTCGAAAGGGGTAGGGTTGCTAACTCTGAGGGGATAGACTTATCTATGCTCATCCACATAAAGACCCTATCCGAGGCTGAAACATACCGATACCTGGTTATGTCACAGAACATAGGTATCGATGAGGCGGACATGAAACAGTCAGTTTGCGGTGTGTTTTATGCACGCTTGACAAAAGTGCTTAACAGTCTTTTGTCGGGCGTTAATAAGACACATGCATATAACGGTTGGATCATGCCTGTTCTCATGTATACCTTTGGCATGCTCAGGTGGACTCAGACCGAAATGAACGCTCTAGACAGAAAAGTCCGCACTATAATGACGTCCCACAGGATGCATCATCCGAGATCGTCAGTAATGAGGCTGTACTTGCCGCGGAAGCATGGTGGGCGCGGCTTACCATGCATAATCGCGAAGTGTGCAGCCTCCGTAATTACTTTCTGACGAGAGCGGATGATCCATACTATAGGGACGTTATTTCTTGTGATAAAGGACTTACCCTCTATCCTTAGCCAACGAGCAATGGCAAGACCCGGCAGTACAGAGCATTTCCGACCGGGAGACCGTATGGAAGGAGAAGGAGCTCCACGGGAGGTTCTACAAGGCTCTACATGAGCCTTGCATAGACACAGTCGCCTCCCTCCACTGGCTACGTTTCGGTGACCTCTTTGGGGAAACCGAGGGTTTTGTCTGTGCGATACAGGACCAGGTTATTAAGACCAACAATTATCGGAGATACATCCTAAAGGATGGCACCGTCGACGTCTGTCGAGCTTGTCGCCATCCCAGTGAGTCACTTAGGCATGTCATCTCCGGTTGTTCGGCGCTTTCTAACTCTGAGTATTTGCACAGACACAACTTAGTAGCCAGGATTCTACACCAGGAGCTCGCTGTGAAATACGGTCTCGTGGATCGGAAACTGCCGTATTATAAGTACTTGCCGGAAGCCGTACTCGAAAATGACCGCGCCAGGCTATACTGGGACCGGGCCATCATCACAGACAGGACTATTCTTGCGAATAAGCCTGATATTGTGCTGATGGACCGGGCACAGTCAAGGATATTTTTGGTCGACATTACCATTCCTTATGACGAGAACCTCGTGAAAGCCGAAACAGATAAGTTGACAAAATATCTGGACCTGGCTCATGAGGTGACCGACATGTGGGGTGGTCTGCCGGCCGAAATTATTCCTGTGGTCGTCTCTGTGAACGGGTTAATCCCAGTCAGCCTCTCGGGTCATCTGAGGCGACTGGGACTCCGTGGCGGATCGCTCCAAGCTCAAATGCAGAAGGCGGTGCTCCTCGATACCGCCCGCATCGTCCGCCGGTTTATTTTCCTTTCCCCCTAACCCTCGGCCGTTTGGTATCCCCTGCCGAGGGCTTCCATCTGGTTGAGTTTTTATATATTTATGTAGTTTTTATGTATTTATTTTATTTTATTGATATTTATGTAAGTTTATCATTTTCATTTACAATTATATATTTATACAGCCCGACCAGATGATAAAACTATACAAATATAGTAAAAAAAATATACAACTATAATACAAATATACAAGTATACATTATTATTATTATTATTACTGCAGTCCACTGACAACTGCAGCCAACTTCAAACTAGTAAGACTACAGATGCGTTATCACCTCTGATGATGAAGATGGAACGCCTTACTGCCCGTAAATGTATCGGCTCTCTACCTTCACATCGGAAAAAGTATTGCTGTTTGACGGTGGAAAGGTACAAGAGATTTTTACCTACCTAGACGAAGTCTCGGAAATTCCTTTTTTATAGGATAGGGTGACAAGCGAGCACACAGTCCACCTGATGGTAAGTGGTTGCTGTGGCCCATAGACATCTAGATACAACGCTTCTTTTCCAGTTAGAAGGGTATCCGATTCTCTACACTCACCACACGAAACACAGCAGCGTTAAGCTGCTATTTTACGCTGGTGTTCTGTGAGAGCGTGGTCCTTCCACGAGCCGACGCATTCGTGCTACAACTATACTACTAATATAGTTACAACATGGCTCTACTACGTATAGAATTCTTCCAAAGAAGTCAAAACACCAATATTTTTTCCACATATGGTAGAAAAGTGTGCCTACCTCATAACTTCCGTACGTGCCAGTTTCCTTCTTCATTTGGAAATTTACGGTTAATGCTCTCTTCATGTTCGTTGCCCATACGGGTTCATCACCGACGTATATACCGCTGATGAAACCATTTGCCTGTAAATAAAATAATGTAAGAATCCATTAATTACGTGAGGAGATTTTGCCGAGTTTTCTACCCTTCCCTCCCCCTGGTGAAATTTCCTGAGATATGGCTCTAAACCTCACGTGAGATTTTTCTAAGTACGTATTTTAGTGTAAATACGTTAATATATGCCTGATTGCGTTAGGTTTATTTAAAAAAAAAAACATGATTAGCTAAATTAATTTTACATAATTTGTGGAGTTCTTATAACCACGATAACTGTTACTGTGGTTTAGGATTTAAAATAAAGTTACAGTCTTCATACGTCCCACTGCTGGGCACAGGCCTCCTCCCATTTTTGAGAGGGTTTTAGGGTAAGGAAATGTCCGCCGCGCTTGCCCCATTCCGTGTTGGCGAATTACAAATGTCTTCGAAATACTTTTTTTTTCTTATTCCTCAGACATGTAGGTTTCCTCACGATGTTCTACTTCACCGCCGAACACGTGGTAAATCAGCACTTAAAATTGCAATTAACAATTTCATTGATGCCGGCGGGGATTGAACCTAGGTTGCTCCCGTAATGTGAAATTAACAGCGAGTGCTAGCCATCTGAGCTACTAAGGCTCTAGCGTCTATTTTCGGTATCTTCTAGCCAATTTTTTTGAAATTTTACACTGTTCCTTGCCAAAAAAATTACTGGGTATTTTCCGAGACCCTTCCTCTCCCCCACGTGAGATTGGGTGAGATTCGGCTCGACCCCCCCCCCCCCCTAGTTTAGGAAAACACCTCACGTAATTAATTCACGCGTCCTCCCTCCCATCTTTAGTAAATTTTTTCTTCATCTTCATCACCATTATCATCATTACACCCCTTCACAGGTCCACTGCAGAGCAGTGATCTCCTCCAATTCATGCCATTTGTCCTATGCCAATTGCATCCATCGACTTTCTGCATATCTTACGTGTATATCCTGTATGTCGCTCTACTTAGTCGTGGGCCGCCCTTTTTGTACATGGGGGAAATGCCTACGCATACGCCTCGCGGGTTATATCAGACTCGCTTCGACTGAAACCCCATGATGTTCCACCTTTGCCGTACATTGGAATAGTCACGTGAACGCTTTCGCACACATCCGCAGCCTCACCATCGCCGGCCGCCCCATGGTAGCCCCACCTCTGTGGATGACTTGTTCTCCCACTTTTCCTTCTCAGGAAAGGCGCAACAGGAACACAAGGTGCGCCTTCCTCCGCGGCCTCTAACTGGTGGAGGGCCACCCGACAATCCGATTATCCGGTATGACCCGGCTACTCGCGAACCTTCCTTCCCCATCAGTTGTTACTTCGTCTTCGACTTCAGCTCACTGATCCGTTCGGCAGTGTCGATCAATTTGGTTCGACTGCGGTAAAACTCCACGCATAGCCCTCTCCATAGCTCGCTGATTGACATTCATTTTAAAAGTTACAAATCTTATTTTCCTTCTCTACAGCCTATAAAGTCCATAGATTGCCGCGTAGCGGGATATTTGCCATGGTTATAATGTTACTGTTGATTTATACTCGTAATTTCACCTCTCAGTGGATTATGTGCTCCTGGTTGATTATTTTCTATACATGTTACTTTTGATTTGATAATTTCACCTCTCAGTGGGTCATGTGCTCCTGGTAGATTATCCTCTATATTCATTACACAGCCTATAAAGTCCACTGCTCTAAACATTGGCCTCCTCCATAGATTGCCTTATAGAGGAGATATTTACCATAGTTGTAATGTTACTGTTGATTTATAATTTCACCTCTCAGTGGATTATGTGCTCCTGGTTGATTATTTTCTATACATGTTACTTTTGATTTGAAAATTTCACCTCTCAGTTTGTCATGTGCTCCTGGTAGATTATCTCGTATACATCCATCCTACTAGTATTAAACTGCTGAACATAGTGCTCCCGATAGATTGCCTCATAAAGGAAATATTTGCTATAGTTGTAATGTTACTGTTGATTTGAAAATTTCACCTCTCAATAGGTCATGTGCTCCTGGTAAATTAGTATCCTCTATACATCCATCCACTGCTGAACATTGGCTTCCTCCATAGATGTTATAGGCGGGATATTTGCCATAGTTGCCACGCTTGACAAGTGGATTGGCAACGGCAGTTTTTTTTATTTTTAGTTGTTATAAGGAAGACGCTGCTGCCGAACTCCTGATTTGTTTTCCTCTGTCGCCTCTTACGACACCCACGATGATATGGGGTAGTGGAAATTCTTACACTACAACTGCACAACTTATAAATAATATGTAAATAAATAAAAAATCTTAAAGTTCAAATATTTTCACCTGATACTCTGCTTCCCAAGTCTTCTTCAAAAAACCCGCCGCCTCTTCCGATTGATACGATGTCTGTAACAAAATCCATAATATGTTATTACAGATTCGAACCAAACTGTTTGCTACATCGTTTGTCATGCGTACAGCAAAGGAGTACAAGTAGTTGCCAGCATCTATCTTTCTATCCGATCACAATGTGGGTGTCTTCAAGGCAAGAGAGAATAGGCTTTTGCTAAGTCAGTACGCTTCATCATCTTAGGTTACATCACCACTTACCATCAGGTGGAATTTTAGTTAAACGCTGTTATTATACATAGTTAAGCTATGTTGCAGTTATATACCTAGTCAGGTCATAAGTATTGTCACACAGTAAAAAATTTTCTTTTAGAATGCTGGCCACAAAAAAGTTTATTGAATTCGAATTTTGAATTGTTCATGAAAATAAAACTGAATACTTTTTAGAATTTTACTCATTTTTAAATATGGAGTGGACGCTTAAAGACGACCGTGTTGCAGTTATTGCGTTACATCGTTGCGGTTACGCGCCAATTCAAATTTGAGACATACTGAAAAATTTGAATATAAACAAAAGATTCGTTTATCTTAACATCAAACGATACAATGAAGACTCTAGTGTAGATGACAGGTCAAGAAGTGGTCGCCCTCGGTCTGTTAGGACCGCAGCAGTGATAAAAGCTGTGAAGGCGCGAATTCAAAGAAATTTTTAAGGTTAAGCAGAACCACGGTGAAAAGGGTATTAAATGAAGACTTAGGGCTTCGGGCATATCGAAGAAAAACAGGACATCGTTTGAATGCTCGTCTAATGGACCTGAGACTGAAGAGATGTCGCGCTTTGTTAAAGCGGTACGCGGGAAAAAAATATCGGGAAATTCTTTTTTCGGATGAAAAATTTTTTACCGTAGAAGAGAGCTACAACAAACAAAATGATAAGGTGTACGCACACAGTAGTGAAAAAGCGAGCAACCGTATTCCGCGTATCCAACGAGGTCATTTTCCATCCTCGCTCATGGTATGGTTGGGAGTTTCTTGTTGGGGCTTAACAGAGGTACATTTTTGTGAGAAAGGTGTAAAAACGAATGCAATTTTGTATCAAAATACAGTCCTAACGAACCTTGTGGAACCTGTTTCTCATACCATGTTCAATAACAGGCACTGGGTATTCCAACAAGATTCGGCGCCAGCTCATAGAGCGAAGAGCACACAGCACACAAGACTGGCTGGCGGCACGTGAAATCGACTTCAACCGGCACGAAAACTGGCCCTCCTCCAGTCCAGGTTTGAATCCGTTAGATTACAAGATATGGCAACACTTGGAGGAAAAGGCGTGCTCAAAGCCTCATCCCAATATGGAGTCACTCAAGACATCCTTGATTAAGGCAGCCGCCGATATTGACATGGACCTCGTTCGTGCTGTGATAGACGACTGACCGCGCAGATTGAAGGCCTGTATTCAAAATTACGGAGGTCATTTTGAATAAACTTTAGTGTCATAAGAATCTATGTTTTCTTAAGTTCATTTTGGTATATAAATGGTTACATAATGAATAAACTTGTTTCAATTATTTTATATTAAACATGTGGCAGAATTTATGACCTGACTAGGTAGTTGTAGCTCCAATTGGCACGGCTCGACCCCGCTCTCACAGAATACAAGCGTGAAATAGCAGCTTAATAAACAGCAATAAGCTGCTATTTTACGCTGGTATTCTGTACCGTTACGGACATACACTTCAATTATATTTACATATATAAACTAGCTGTTCTCCGTGACTTTGACCGCGTGGAATTATTTTGCGTGGAACCCTAAAATAAATGTGCCAGTGAAAGTCCAATCCAAATTCAGAGAATTTTCTTGACCGATCCGGCTTAGAGACCTTCAAGAAGAGAGCGTACTCCTTTTTAAAAGGCCGGCAACGCATCTGCTATTTCCCTGGTGTTGCAGTTGTTCATGGACGGCTGTAGTCACTTACCATCAGCTGAGTCGTATGCTCGTTTGCTATAAAAAAAATCGGTTCACAGGTTTTTGCGTGATGTGTGTTCAAACAGACCTCGTGTTAGAGCTTAATACTTATATAGTCTATATAGATAATCTAGGCTCACACGTCTGTCATGCGTAAGCATCAGATCATATAGCTAGCGATGAGCGGTGTCCCCCGCCCCCTCGCACACAGTGCGCCCGACCGCCCAGCGCGCGCCGGACCGCACAACCTTACATCGTCGTAACTTTATAAAATATTTGACCAAATTACGTAGTTTAACAGACAAACTTTGTCTACTTTGAATATCAGAAGCGATAAAAGTATTTATTTTGATACTAATCTATTTATTATTGCAATATGAGTTGAAAATATGTTTAGAACTAAATAAATTATATTATTAATATTATTAAAATAAAGTATCAAATTTTATTGTATTTATGGTTCACTATTTAAATACTAATGGCTTACACATAAAATATAGATATAAACTGTCGCGAAGTTTTTTGTAGAACTATTTAGGAGAAACAATTCCACCATACATTAGATTCGTGTAACTCTTACAGGTTTTGCACCGCACGCCAAAATAGCTCGCAGATGACAGATTTTATTCCGACCTCCTTAACAGGTATCGTTATATTTTGGCCAATTTACACAATGTCATTATGAATTATACCTTATGTGTATTCTGATGTATCAGCTATATAAATATAAAGTTTCATTAAAATCCATATAGTAGTTTTTGCGTACAGTGTAACAAACATCCATAAGTTCTCACAAACTTTCACGTTTATAATATTAAGTAGGATTAAATGAGGATCGGTTCATTAAGGGTAACTTAACCAACCAAATAACTGAAATAATAAAAACTGAAGACGAAGTTTTACCAAATGACAATAATAACAAGTATAAATTGTATTCCGGTCCGACGAAGGAACACGCGCTCACAGAATACCAAAGTAAAATAACAGCTTAATGCTGATGTGTTTCGTATACTAAGTATAAAGAACCGGAGACCTTTTTTACTAGAAACGAAGCATTCCAGATTAGTCCTCAGGATTGACTACGTATTTCCATTTTCATTCTTAATCGGGGATGGATACAGAAGTCTAATAGCCACATCATCCACTTATAATAATAATAATGTTCTCCAAACCGAATTTTGGTCGAAGCGAGACTATCATCTGCGCTGGACAGGAACATAGAGCACGAGTGAGTGCACAAGCACAGCTGCACTCTCTATTCCTTCACTCTCATAGTCCGATGGGACGGTAAACTAACACGACCGGAGAGAGATCAGATAGGACCAACGGCTTCACGTTTTTTTTTATAGGATAAAGGTGACAAGTCTCTCTCTCTCTCTCTCTCTCTATGCTCGTACACAGTCCACCTGATGGTAAGTGGTTGCTGTGGCCCATAGACATTTACGAGTACACCTATCCTCGTTTGCGAATAAAATGCAGATGCGTTGTCAGCCGTGTGAACGAAGATGGAATGCCTTTTTTCCAGTAAAAAGAGTCTCCGGTTCTCTACACTCATCATACCAAATACAGCAGCATTAAGCTGCTATTTTACGCTGGTATTCTGTGAGAGCGTGGGCCTTCCCAGGTCGAGCCGACCTATACTATTAATATAGCTGCATCATGGCCCTACCACGTCTAAAGGGTTATAGGGATATTACAACTAACTTACTATAGGCGGCGCGCGTATCGTACCGACAAATTTATTTGAAAGTTATACATACATCACTCAATATCAATCAAAGTTTTATCATTCATAATTAAACAATATAATTCTTCCAAATTTAAAACGATATTTGGACAATTATTTTTTCTGTGGCAGTAACGCGCCAGGCCAGTATATTAAAAAAATATTGATTATCTAAATATTCGTCTATTGTATTAAAACAATATTCTGCATTTTTTTTTATATTTTTACAATTTGGCGGGAACTTGACCGGCGACTGATTGCTGCTCGTAAATCATAGTTTAAATAATGGTTTGAAGTGGATTCTGATATGTAAATGTTCGCATACGAACTGTTACTTTTATCCCCCAAAAACTTGGCAATGTGACGCATCAACATATTGTGAAAAGTGTACACGTTACAGCCTATTAAAGTGCACTGGTAAGGAACATAGGCCAGATTGCCTCGTAGGGGATATTTGCCGTAGTTGTGACCCGAGTTACTAATTTTTAGTCGTTATTAGGAAGACGCTGCTGCCCATCGTCCTGGTTTGTTTCCCTCTGTCACCTCTTACGACACCCACGGGTTGATATGGGGTAGTGGATATTCTTACACCGCCACTACACGGTAAAAAGTGTACGAATCCATTACCAAAGAAAGAAAGAAAGAAAAAAAAGACAAATTTTACAAAAGCAACTTTTTTATTCTCTTTAACGTACCTTCAAGTCGTCCAACTTGAATCTCACTTTGGTGTAGTTATCATAGACAGTGACCAACAGTCTTCCTTCTAGAGTCCAAAAGGAGTTTCCTTCCCTCGGTGCCAGGATGCCCGAGGATGAGTTGGTTTTCACCACGAAACTGTACTGCCGGTTCAGTTCGGGGAACAACACCTGGAGGCCGTTTGGCGAAGCAGTCACCGCTGCAAGGCCTGGAATAATTATCTATATATTAATACGCGAGGGAAAGATTGTACTCCTTTTTAAACATGCACGGAAGTGTGATATTCGGAATAGTTAATGTGTATATGGAGAAGGAGTGCAGGAAGCTAAAATGTATATATATATATATATATATATATATATATATATATATATATGTGTGTGTGTGTGTGTGTGTGTGTGTGTGTGTGTATATACATATACATTTTAGCTAAATACCACTGACTGACTGACTCATCACGAGATCTCTAAAACTATACAACCGATTGACTTGAAATTCAGTATATTAAGTATTTAGTCATTTCGCAATATAGACGCTCACTAAGAACGGATTTTATGATAGTTCCATCAAATAAAAAATTCTTGATATTTTACATCTAGGTTCCGCAATAAAATATAATCGTGCAGCCAGCGAAGCGAGCGGGTATCCCGGTTCGTCCCTTAAGACGTGTCATAAAAGTCTATGGGAAATGCCAAAAAATCCAATGGCTATCGATAGATGGAGATACAACCACCTCCTTCACGTCAGGCGTAAAATATTTTTGACGTGAAAACTTCTTTAGCCGCGTTGAGCGATTTTTGGTAGGAGAAAAACTTATGGGTTCGCGTCACCGATGACCTTGACATGTTAGTGACGTATTGCGCTTGCGTATTTAGCAGTAGCATGTCTGCTACGGGTACGTATTGCGGCCTGTGGACATGTATACGCATATATCCTTGAGTTTTCACCTCTGTCGACAGTCCTTATGACTGACTTTGTTTTATTTTTATTAATTAAAAACATTACCCTCGCACTAGAATTTCGTCCTGTATGGTGGAGGCATACATAGATAAATTGCATAGAATAGACTATAATGTTTTTTTTTATTCAATAAAGATTATTACATAATACTTATTGAAAGATTTTTTTTTATATTGGTTCGAAAAATACCTCTGTCCTGAGAATAACTAGCAGGAAACCAAGCGGTATTTTTTTTAAACATAATTTCATTTTCCAAAAATTTTTGTACGATTTTTAAACAAATTTTGATAGAACTAGGAGGGTGGTGATCACCATCATTCCCAGGGGCTATTTTCATTCGTGTATTCATTGTTATACGGACAAACATCCAGACTCAAAACAATTATTTGTAGGCGATACAAATACTTGTTCCGTAAGCCATTCGAACCCGCGGCTCTCAATGCCGTAACTCATTGCTAAGCCACTACGCCATGGAGCCATCAATTGTGAAACTGTACCATTAAACATGAATCAACACTGCTGACGGACTGCTGCGTCAAAAGGAAATAAAATGAATAACGTAGGTGTTTACGTACTATGTACGATTTTGTCGCATCTAAAAAGACAATGCGAGTCCGAAAAAATCGATTTTTATATCTTGCGAAAAAATTAAAATAACTTACCCAAAGACACTAATAAATAGACGAGAATCATTGCGTTATCTGTAACAAAAAAAAATGTAATTTATATATCCTTTCGGGCGTTCTGTTAACCAATATACAAGAAACCGCCAAAATTACGTCACACAATTTTGAAACGAGACTGACAATACTTATAAAAGTAGAACTTAATATTCATATAGTAGAATTAAATAGTTTAATTCATAACGATTGGATACGTATAAGTTTTATATAAATCTGACCCACAAAATTAAAAAAATATCATTGTTTACACGGTCAGTAAGTGGTTGCCGTGGCCCATAGACATCTACATCTATCTTCAGTTGCGAATTAAAATGCAGATGCGTTGTCAGCCGCGAGGACTAAAATAAAATGCCTCTTTTCCTGTAAAACTCCTGGTCCTGGTTCCTGGTCTCCGGTTCTCTACACTAACCATACGAAACACAGAAGCATTAAGCTGCTATTTTACGCTGGTATTCTGTGAGAGCGTGGTCCTTCCCCGGTCAAGCCGGCCCATTCGTGCTACAACTATACTATTAATATAGCTGCAGCATGGCTCTACCACGTAAAAATAACAACAATAACAAAATTAAAGTTGTAAAACTTTCCGATAGAATCTAGAGTATCCCATTAATTAATGTTTATCTTTGTTAGTGAGATAAGGAAATTTCCTAACTTCGTCCTCTCAAGGACTAGTGATTGCGGACGTTATCGAAATGGATTTCACGCACTTTCGGAATTGTTTTTAAGCAACATTAAATTCTGAAGGTTGATCAAAAAGGAAAAAATACCCTACTGGCCGAGTCGACCCATTCACACTGCCGCCATACTAATGCTGTAACGTGGCTCTACCACTTTTAGTCTTTCATTTTCTATTTTTGTCTGTGGCAGGATGATACATATCTAAGCGTTATTATTTTCTGTCCAATTTTATACGTGGTAGAGCCATGCTGTAACTATAAATGTTATGGTTGCAGCACGAACGGATCAGCTCAAAGGACCAGGCCCTCACAGAATACCAGCGTGAATTAGCAGTTTAACACTGCTGTGCTTCGTATGGTGAGTGTAAAGAACCGGAGATACTGTTAATTGAAAATGAAGCATTCTATCTTATACCTCAAGAGTGACAACGCGTCTGCATTTTGATTCTTAATCAAGGATAGATGCAGAAGCCTATGGGCCACATTATCCACTTACCATCAGGTGGACTGTGTGGTTGTTTTTTCTTTTTTATAGAATAAGGGTGACAAAGGAGCACACAGTCCACCTGATGGTAAGTGGTTGCTGTGGCCCATAGACATCTACATCTATCTTCGTTTGCGAATAAAATGCAGATGCGTTGTCAGCTGTGAGGACAAAGATGGAATGCTTCTTTTCCAGTAAAAAGGGTCTCCGGTTCTCTACTCTTACCATACCAAACACAGCAGCATTAAGCTGCTATTTTACGCTGGTATTCTGTGAGAGCTTGGTCCTTCCCCAGTCGAGCCGACCCATTCGTGCTACAACTATACTATTAATATAGCTGCAGAAAGGCTCTACCACGTAGAATATATATGTTTGTCACCCGTATTCTATTAAAAAAAAACTATACATAATAGGAGATGATTCAGGCGCTATGTGTCAAATTCAAGCTTAAACAATAACCAATTTCGTATTTGCCTAAAACAGTAACTAACTCATACGTGGTAGAGTCACGCTGCAGCTATATAAGTTGTGGCACGAATGGGTCGGCTCGACCGAAGTAGGACCACGCTCTCATACAATATCAGCGTAAAATAGCAGCATAATGCTTCTGTGTTTCGTATGGTGAGTGTACAGAACCGGAGACCCTTTTTACTGAAAACGAGGCATTCCATCTTAGTCTCACAGGAGACAACGCATCTGCATTTTGATTCGCTAACGAGAATGGATGTAGAAGTTTATAGGCCACAGCATCCACTTTAGGTGGATTGTGTGCTCGGTTGTCACCCTTATTCTATAAAAAGAGCTGGTAATAACATGCAAGAAGTCGATGGATGCAGGTGGCTCAGGATGGCGTTCAGCAGTGAGATTGTGAAGGACTGTAACTGACGAAGGTATAAATGAATATATCTCATTAATGCTGGTCATTACATGGTAGAGTCACGCTGCAGCTATATTAGTTATGGCGCGAATGGGTCGGCTCGACCGAAGTAGGACCACGCTCTCATACAATATCAGCGTAAAATAGCAGCATAACGCTGCTGTGTTTTGTATGGTGAGTTTAGAGAACCGGAGACCCCTTTTACAGAAAACGAGGCATTCCATCTTAGTCCTCAGGTGTGGCAACGCATTTGCATTTTGATTTTTAACTGAGGACAGATGTAGATGTCTATGGGCCACGGCAACCGCTTACCATCAGGTGGACTGTGTGCTCGCTTGTCACCCTTGATCTATAAAAAAACATATCTAAAATTCACTTGTGAGCATGTACCTTTCATAGATTGCCTCATGAGAGAGCATTAACCAAGTTGCCTAGCTTGGCAGGTGGGATTGCAATAGCAGTTTTTTATTTTTTAGTTAACAGCAACTGAACAAGGAGGAAACAAGGAAGGTGCTGCTGTCTGTTTCAGTTTCCTCACTGTCACCCCTTACGACACCCATGAGATAATACGGCGACGTACAGCACTGAACCATAATATATCAATAAACAAAAAATCGGCCAAGTGCGAGTCGGACTCGCGCACCGCGTGTTCCGAACAAATCCGTAGGTATACTAGTTTCAAATTATTAAAAATATTTTATTAATTAATAAACTAAAAATTAATTAAACTAAATTAACTAAAAATTTATGCTTTTTGTAATTTTTCCTTTATCTGTGCTATAATACGTTGCCACGTTCACGGGAAGTACCCTGTAGGTTTTGATTCCCATGTGAATGTCGATAATTTGCGGCATAAACGGTTGTATATTTTGATTGCCTTGGCTTAGAAGTTTGATTTTTTCACAGCTGCAAGCGACAGTAGACTTGAGTATTTGATATGAATTTCAGCTTGAAACCTCCACGCGTTCCTGAGAAAAAGGGTCTTGACAGACAGACAGACGGACAACAAAGTGATCCTATAAGGGTTCCGTTTTTTCCTTTTGATGTACGGAACCCTAAAAACCAACAGAATTCCGCGCTGAATCTGAGTTAAATACCTACAAGTGCTGATTTACCACTCACCACCGTGAGGGTGAACATCGTGAAGAAACCTAAATGAGGAATACGAGTACATTATATGTACAGGTGAAGTTACGCGAAGTCCGCTAACAAGCCATTAAAATCTACTGCTGTACATGGGTATCTCTATTGCAATAAAAATAATGTCCCAGGAGTAGACATGTGTGTCATTCATTCATTTCTAGTGACCCGATCATTCAAGTATTGATTCCTCTTACGAACCGGATCGTTCGAGTAGATCATTCAAACGGATCATTTCTAGTTTCAATACTCTGTTATATATGAGACCCGCTCGGTAATGACGCTCGTCTGACAATACTATACTCCTTCTTTGTAGGCCCTGTCAGTAGTTTGATCCGGAACATTTATAATATGATATTGCAATCATCAATACTTTGATGCGACCCGGGTCAAATTAACGAATCATTAACGGTTGACACATGTCTACTCCAGACAGAAATTTGGTCACGTCTGCCAGTCCCAACGGAGACTAGCCATTTTTTTTTGGTCAGGGTATAGCGCACGAGTGTGTGCGCAAGCACGGGTGCACTCTATTGCCTCACTGCACGCCCTGAGAGAAATCGGTACGGATTTACGTGATTTCAGAGGAACTGGGGTACAATACCGCTACGAAGCACACGCCTTTTCATTGTATGGATGATGGCCACCTCGATGTGATAGTGGTCGTTAACGCGGTGGCTATTGATTAGTGGTTCAAATCCCGAGTCAGTCCAAAGTAAGTTATTGAGTTTTTCTGACGACTAATTCTCCGTAGGAGCTCGGAGTCAGGAAGTTGTGTAGTGTTAGTGTGTTATCTCCCGTGCCTCGGAAAGCACGTAGTGATAGGCATCTTAACTCTCTCCGGTCATGTCGAACAACCCTCCCATCGGACTATGAGAGTGAGGCAATAGAGAGTGCACCTGTACTTGCACACACACTAGTGCACTATAACCCTGTCCTGTGCAGATGGCTGGTCTCCTTTGATGCTGGCCGCCTAGTTGGCCGGCATAGTTGTAATGTTACTTTAAATTTGAAAATTTCACCTATCAGTGGGTCATGTGCTCCTGGTAGATTATCTTCTATACATCCATCTACAGCCTACTCGTATTAAACTGCTGAACATAGTCCTCCCGATAGATTGCCTCATAAAGGCAATATTTGCCATAGTTGTAATGTTACGGTTGATTTGAAAATTTCACCTCTCAGTGGGTCATGTGCTCCTGGTAGTTTATATTCTATACATCCATCTTACAGCCTATTAAAGTCCACTGCTGAACATAATCCTCCTCCCATAGATAGCCTCAAAAGGAGAATATTTGCCATAGTTGCCAGGACGCTGCTGCCTGTTTTCTTGTTTGATTCCCTTCGTAGCCGCTTCTCCTATATCGTGGGGACAGTTTACAAACATAAATTACCCAAGGACAAACATCCAGACCCGAAACAATAATCTGTAGACCATACAAATACTTGTTCCGTGCGGGATTTGAACCCGCAGCCCTTAGCGCTGCAATTCAATTGTTAAGCCACTGCGCCACAAAGCCGTCAACTCCATGAAGTAGTGGATATTCTTACACCGCCAATACAAGTAATCGACTAAATCTACAATATAGCCTTACGGTGCCTAAAACCGGAATAATTCTGACAATTTTATTTACGATTTTTCTTGTAATTAACAATCACTAATCGAATTATATTTTTTTTATAGTATAAGAGTGATAAACGAGCACACAGTCCACCTGATGGTAAATTGATGCTGTGGCTCATAGACATCTAAATCTATCTTAAATTAAGAATCGAAATGCAGATACGTTGACTTGAGAACTAAGACGTAATACCTCATTTCTAGTAATAAGTGTCACCACACGAAACACAGCAGCATTAAGCTGCTATTTCACGCTCGTATTCTGTGAGAGCGTGTTCCTTCCCATTCAGGTTGACCCATGCGTGCTACGTGTATAATATAGCTGCAGCATGGCTCTATCACGTTAAATATTCTTACTCCGTCATTGCACGACTTTGCATCTATAATATTCTAATGATAAGATACTTCCGATTCCCCAAAACGGGATGTTTCTGTCAACTTTGACCCCGACCTCTCAGGTAGTTGACAATCACTAATAGAAATGAAACTATAAAAGTCACTTTTACACCGTCATCATGCCGTAAATACAAACTTTGACATATATAAGTTTTGTTTACTTACCAAAACATTTGTTTAGTGATATTGAACCAATATTCCTCGAGTTACAAACACACAAGTATTATCACTGGCGGGCACCGAATGAATGATTAGGTATATACATTAAGCATGCACTGGAACAGTGTTGCAATTCCAGAATATCTATTTTGATACCCATAGAATTAAATGAATATTTATTAAACACCAATATAATAAATATATCTAAACCAAAATCGTCTAAATGTAAAGGAGACATAGATTTGGCATTAACTTTAATTATTTTAATACATTGGCTTTGATATGCTGCATTTCTAAAAAAAAAACTGAAGCGCTTACCTAATTAGTGTGTTTATAACATAAGGCTTGGTTTAGAATAATTTATTATTATATTATTTATAATATTATAGTTATAATAGGTACTGGTTAAAAGTGAAATAAGTTGATGTTGCATAATAAGTGTAGTAATAGTTAATAATCATTGTATTCGTGGTTAATAATAACCTAAAATAAAGAAGGTGATCGCTTATTAAATTATTAATAAATCTTCCTTGGTTTCTTGCTGCACTTGCTTCTTGTTTGCTTGGACCGATGTAGGTTTATTTAGTGGTAATATTTAAGAAATTTAATTTAATATCAATGAATCAATTAAGTTGTATTTAATTTAGATATACAATTAATTATTAATATTCTTTTCTCGCTCAAAGGCTAAGTATAGCCACTCAACGGGGAAACGCAGCCAGCGTTCTCGGCACGATACCGCGGGGAGTAGGACTGTATGATAATTAAGTTATTAGTTTTAGTTTTACAAAAAATAAATTTAGATATAATACATAAGTGTAATTTGTCAAACTGAGAGTTTAATAAAAATAAATTATTATTATTATTAACAAAATAGGTTAAACAACTTAATGAAGCAGCAATAACTTACACTAAATTATATACAATATTTAGAAGTTACAACGCTTTACCAATCAGTCGCCTTATCGGCGAGCGTTGATATCTCATTTGGCCTCTGACCCCTTGAATTAAAGATTCATTAATACCTGACCAGTTCACACAGATCCCTATTAACACATTCAACCACTCCCATATCTCCTGCATTCGTATGACGCCAGAGGGGGTGCTGATGTCGTAATAAGCTGGTCAACTTCCGCCGACTTCATTAAAACTGCACACGTTAGAGGTTTTTGTCAAATCGTGAATTAAAAATTTCAAAAATAAAATTGAATATTTATGATTTTTTTATAGTTACAGAGCAATGTAGTAGATTCAGAGTGAACGCATGACACCATTTTGTCTAATGTCATAGTAAATTAAATTCAAAATGAAAGAAGTACTTATGTAATAATACGCGTGAATATCTTCAGGCGCTGTGTCAAATTCAACCTAAAAGAATAACCAATTTCGTATTCACCTAAAACGGTAACTAACTCATACGTGGTAGCTATATTAATAGTATAGTTGTAGCACGAATGGTTTGGCTCTGGTAGGACCACGCTCTCACAGAATACCAGCGCAAAATAGCAGCTTAACGCTGCTGTGTTTCTTATAGTGAGTGTAGAGAACCGGAGACCCTTTATACTGGATACGAGGCATTCCGTCTTAGTCCTCAAGGTTGACAATGCATCTGCATTTTGATTCTTTATTGAGGATAGATGTAGATGTCTATGGGCCACAGCATCCACTTACCATCAGGTGGATTGTGTGTTCGTTTGTCAACCTTATTCTATAAAAAGAGCTGGTAATACATGCAAGAAGTCGATGGATGCAGGTGGCTCAGGATGGCGTTAAGCAGTGAGATTGTTGACTGTAACTAACGAAGGAATAAATGAATATATCCCATTAATGCCGGTAATCATCTGTGGATTGGACATTGACTAGAGAGTGTCTTTGAATGCCTATTGTGTGTGAATTGCCTATAGTAGAAATACTTCATCGGTTTACCTCTAAACTAGCGATCCGCCCCGAATTCGCACGGTTGATTTCTGGATCTCTACTACAACGCCACCTACTGGGTTTAATTGTGAAACTAAACCATCCTCTAATCAACTTAATCACAAACACACAACACACAAAATTTCATCAAAATTGGTCCAGCCGTTTAGAAGGAGTTCACTCACATACAGACGTACAGAAGAATAATGTAGAATATAATATACATGTTTGAATTATATAAACTTTTCTCTTAAATCATTATGTCTATTGTTGTATAGTTCATCTAAATAAATTGCGTAATTTAAAAGATCTAAGCGTACAGACGGCGGAAAGCGACATTGTTTTATACTATGTGGAGGTAGCATACAATTATACGAGTAAATAAAATCACCCATCTACTCGCGTCTGGCAATTAATTGAATTGAACGAAGTTCCTTTTGGCACGGTACGAATTTGGATGGGGCCAAAACGAGAAAAAGTGTAAGATTTTTCCGTCACGATCCCCTTTCTATAGTGCGAACGAGATGGAATATTATTATGAAAGAAATATTATTTTAAATGACGCTTCATTTGAATAGACGCAAGTAATTCATTTATTTATATTTGTTAATTAATAATATAATACGTTTATCAATAATAATAATATACTACGAAAGGAACTTCGTTCCAACCGAGTGTTCCACGACACTCACGCATGTTTTTTATACTGCTACAGTTTTTCACTATCAATTAGAAAATCACTTGAGGAAGGTTAGACTGGATAATACATTCTAACGCATAATTTTTTTATGTTTGTTACAGACCTTCACAAGTCCACTGTTCAACATAGGCCTTCCCCAAGAAATGTAACAAAGCATGGTCGTGTTCTATCCACTTCCACTATCCACTTACCATCAAGTCAAGTGGACCGTGTGCTCGTTTGTCACTATTAATTTATTAAATTTGGGATTCTATTGATTAGGGTAATTAATCGGAATCAGAAATATTTATTGGTCATAATATAACGATAGTTATAGGCAAGTCATCATATTTAATTACATTATTGTACTTTAATTTAGTTACAATTGACGCTTTACATCACAGAATTTGGTAAGTTATTTTGTTTGCACTTTACACACGAATGATTTGAGAGTTGCATTGACATGTATTCGTTTAATTTGTAAAATGCGCTATTTAAAAAAAATACTTAATTAACCGACTTCAAAAAGTAGAACGTAGTAGGAACTCAATTCGACTGTATGTTTTTTTTTATGACTGTTACCTCATAACTTTTTACAGAGTGAACTGATTATGGTGATTCTCTTTTAATTTGAAAGCTGGTGCTTCTCATGTGGTCCCATAAAAATTTGATCAAGGTCTGATTAGTAGTTTTTGAGTTATAGACTACATTGATGATGTACTCATTTTATTATTATTCAACTCGGTTGTACAAAATTTTACATATAAGTGCAACTTGGTTATGATATTTTAAGAATACAAAATAGTTTAACCACAACGTGTTGAGAGTAATGCACTACCTAATAACGCATCGTGCTATGAGGCGTGCAATAATACAGAACAATATAACCAAATATAACCAAACCAAAGTTAGTATTTAAAAAAAAAAACGTTAACCCCACACTAGGATTTTCGCCTGTATCGTGGAGGTAGTTTACAAACACAAATTGCACAAGGACAAACATCCAGACCCGGAACAAATATTTGTAGGCCATACAAATACTTGTTCCGTGCGTGATTCGAACCCGCGCCCCCCAGCGCAGCAACTCATTGCTAAGCCACTGCGCCACGGAGCCGTATTGCTTTTAACTCTAAGATTAACAAATTGCTCCTAAAATGTTCCTTATCTCTCTGGTTCAGTCTCTTTAAAACGTAAACTTTTCTTATTTGATGTTTATAGCAATATCAATTGTCAAACAAACAAATAAACCAAACTAAACTTGTAAAATTTTTACCTGACCGCTCCAGAACGAGGCTTACATATATCTTTCGAGTGTATGTATGTATGTATCTATGTCTATTTATTCGCCTTGCTCTGTAGCCTAAACTACTTGATGGATTTACCACAAATTTAAAAATTCCTGAGCCTGCAGTTATACTCATTAAGACCGATACACAGGTGAGCATGCGCTGCTATTTTACGGCAGGTGTGAGGCTTGAGGCTTGGTGGTAAGGCACCTGGTTGACAACTACGCAGACAACTAGGCAAACAAGAAAGCCTACCACTATGAGTTTTTTTTTATAGGATAGGGTGACAAACGAGCACACAGTCCACCTGATTGTAAGTGGTGCCATAGACATCCACATCTATCCTCAATAAAGAATCGAAATGCGGATACGTTGTCACCCGTGAGTACTAAGATGAAATGCCTCGTTTCCAGTAAAAAGGGTCTGCCGTTCTCTACACTCACCATACGAAACACAGCAGTGTTAAGCTGCTATTTTACGCTGGTATTCTGTGAGAGCGCGGTCCTTCCCCGGTCGAGCCGACCCATTCGTGCTACAACTATACTACTAATATAGCTGCAGCATGGCTCTACCACGTAAAGAAACCTACCGTTACGTTACCTAAAAGTGTAGAGTTGTGATAGTTCAGTCGCTAAGCGCTCACCGTAGGACAGTTACTATACTCTTTGGCTCACCGTAAATCTCACAGTACACAAACAACCGAGTTCGATCTAGCACATGCTCGACGGTGAAGGATCCTGCATGCGAGGAAACCTGCACGTCTGAGAAATAAGAAAAAAAATATTTCGAAGACATGTGAAGTTTCCCAATACGCATTGAGGCAGCGCGGAGGACATTTCCTTGTCCTAAAACCCTCTCAGTAATAAGAGGAGACCTCTGCCCAGCAGTGGGATGTATAAAAGCTGTAACTTTTACATTATATAACGTTTAAAAGTGTAAAAACCTTCAATGGGGATTTGAACTTAGTGCCAAACAGGCATAAACTATAACCGCCGTACTGTATGTTCCGTAAACAGTGTCTAAACTCCAAAGCTGTAATTGGACCCGCATGCCATATATAGATTAGATCGCTAAAACAATATGTAGGGTATATCGTGTTGACACCAGACTTTGTTTGCTTTTTAATTATTAATACTTACCGTTACAGCCCATAAAAGTCCACCGCTGAACATAGGCCACCCATAGACTGTCTCATGATAATTTTGCTA